CTCTAGCCCAGGCAACAGAGCAAGACTCTGTCTCAAAAAAAAAAAAAAAGAAAAAAGAAAAAAGCGTTTGACAAAATCCAACATGATAAATCCATTCATGATAAAAACTCTCTACAAACTAAGAATAAAGGGGAACTTCCTCAACTTGATAAAGCACATTTATAAAAAATCTACAGCACAATATGCTTAATGGTGAAAGATGGAATATTTTTCCCCTAAGACTGGGAACACAAGCATGTTCTTTCTCATTACTCTTATTTAACATAATATTGGAAGCTACAGCTACTGCAATAAGGCAAGAAAAAGAAAAAGTATACAGATTAGAAAGTAAGAAATAAAACTGCCTATTTGCAGATGACATGATAGTCTACCTTGAAATTCCCAAGGAATGTACCAAAAAACTCCTAGAACACCTTGAATTCAGCAAGATGATAGAATACAAGATCAAAACACAAAAATCAACTGCATTTCTATATACTAACAATGAACATTTAAAAATCAAAACTAGGAAGAGAATACCATTTATAATTACTCCCTTTTCTGCTTAAAAAAAAATAACAAAACATATACAGGATCCATATGCTGCAAATTACAAAATGATGATAGAAATCAAGTAAGACCTACATAAATGGAGAGACATACCCTGCTCATAGCAAAAATGTCTATTCTCCCCAAATTGATTACAGGTTTAATGCAACTCCTATCAAAATCCCAACAAGGTTTTTCATAGACACAGACAAGCTTATTCTAAAGTTAATATGGAAAGGCACAGACCCTAGAATAGCTAAAATTATACTGACAAAGAAAAAAGTGGGAGAAATCATACTACTCAATATTAAGGCCTACCCTGTAGCTACAATAACCAATACTGGCAGATTAATATTGGCAGAAGAACAGACATAAAATCAATGGCAAAGAATAGAGAAGCCAGAGATAGATCCATAGAAGTACAGACAATTGATTTCAGACAAAGCTGTAAAAGTAATTCAATGAAGGAATAACAAATAGTGTTGGAGCTATTGGACTTCCATAGGTAAAAACAAGAACCTTCGCCTAAATCTTATATAGATCATGTTCCTACTTAGAATACAGAGCCTTAGGGACTCTGTTGCTTGCCTGACCAAGCTGGGTGGAGGATTTACCTTTCAATCAGATGAGCTGTGTGATCAGAGGAAGGCCTCTGATCTCCCCAAGTACGTGTAAAACTCGAGCCTGATTCAAAGATCACCAAGTCCTGAAGGAGTTCTCGCACAATTTCTAAGCCTTGGTAGAACAATTCCCACGTTGGTAGTGGCAAAAGACAGCCCATCATCTTGTTCGACACAGAAAGAGCACAGCAGGAGTATAAACAATAGGTTCATACTCCTTAGCAAATCAGAGTTTTGCTCACCAAGGGGCACAAATTCCTAGAAGAGCTGAGACACATCACGATGACCTAACAAGGAGAGCTGGAGAGACGAAGCGGGTTCAGTGCAGCTGGCCAGAAAGCAGGGGAGCAAGGGAGGGCCTCGCAGATCCATACTCCAGCTCTCACAGCCTCAGTTTCCATGGAGATGATTCCTGGTGGTCAGATTCTTTTCCTTTGTATATTTGCAAGAGCTGGACTCAGCACTAAGCACTCTGTCTGCTGACATCTCATTTTATTCTCAGAAAACACTCTGACATAGTACTATTGTGTCCCTCATTTCACAGTAATCAAAAAAGAAAACAAAACAAAACATACACCCTCCCCCTCACACACAAAGCCCCAAAACAAATGTAGACACAATCACAATTCTCTCTCAGTATTGCTGAGGGGACTAAATGCTCTAATGAGGATGAATGGACAATACAGTTCCTGGGTTCTTCCATAGGTTTTGTCAATTTCTCTCCCAGTGGAATTCCAGAATGAAGTCCGGAGAGAGACCACACTCCAAATGTCCTTCCCTTACTTTCTTAAGGGGGCTGGAGGTACCATGGTGTGTGCAACACCCAGAAGAGAAGCTCTCTGCCATGACTAGGCCTGGCCTCACTTCTCTCCTTCATTCTTTTGTTTGCTATATGCAAAACAGACCCAAGCCTTGCCCTTGAGGAGATCATGGCAAATGGGGAAGACCTACCTGAAGAAGTTAATCATAAAATACCCACTTATTAAATGCTTAAAAAAGGACATTTTGAAGTATCAAACATGGGGGCCAGAGGAGGCTTATCTGAGGAACTGACATTTAAATTGGGAACCAAGGGATGAACAGAAGACAGTTCTGTGAGGCTGGGGAGAGTGCTCTAGGCAGAAGAAGGAGGTCTGAAGAGGGGCGGAGGAGAATGACACTGTGGCTGAGGCACAGGGACCGACGGGAAGTGGTGCAGGACAAAGTTGGAGGGGTGGGATGAAGCTTTTAAGGCCTCGTCAAGGACTTTTTTTCTTTATCCTAAGAGCAATGAACATTCACTGAAGGTTTTTTTTGAATTGTGGCAAAATATACATAAAATGTATCATCTTAACCATTTTTAAATACACAGTTCAGTAGTATTAAGTGCATTCACACTTTTGTACAATCACTACTGCCAGCCATCTCCATAACTCTTTCCATCTTGCAAAACAAACTCTGCACCCATTAAGTAATGACTCCTCATTCTCCCCCTCGCAGCCCCTGGCAACCACCATCTACTTTCTGTCTTTATTAATGTGACCACTCTAGGTACCTCATATAAATGGAATCATATAGTATTTTTCCTTTTGTGATTGGCTTATTTTACTTGGTATAGTGTCCTCAAGGTTCATCCATGTTGTAGCATGTGACAGGATTTCCTTCCTTTTTAAAGCTGAAAAATACTCTATTGTATGTATATACCACGTTGTGTTTATCCGTTCATCTGTCAGTGGACACCTAGTTTGCTTTCACCTTTTGGCTATTACAAATAATGCTTCTATGAATGTGGGTGTACAAATAACTCTTCAAGATCCTGCTTTCAAGTCTTTTGGGTATATGTCCGGAAGTGGAAATGCAGGATTATGTGACAATATAATTTTTCGAGAAACTGCCATACTGTTTTCTACAGTGGCTACACCATTTTACATTCCCACCAACAGTGCACAAGGGTTCTATTAATAATTGCTCCACATCCTTGACGACATTTGTTTATTTTCTGGTTTTTTGGATGGTAGCCATCCTAATGCGTGTGAGGTAGTATCACTGAAGGGTTTTCAAGCAAGAGCTGTAACTATGATCTGATCTACGTTTTAAAAAGATTGCACCCACTGCTATGTAGGAAATCCACTGGGGGGTGGTGAGCAGGAGCAGAACATGTCAGCGTTCTCCTCACACAGAAGCTGCATGGAGGAGGGGAGGAGACCAAGACGAGTGGCCAGAATGATGGAAGCAGGTGGTGTGAAAGTCTGAGAGGAACTGAAGGAATTCAAAGTGGTAACTGCTGATTAGATGCAATTAAATGCAATAGGGTTTCTGGGTAATTCTGAGGTTCAGTTAAGGTTTGATAACTATCAATATACAGTGATGCTGAGCTTCCTCTGAAACCCTGAGGGGGTCAATGAAGATGGGGGAAAGGTCCCTGAAGTGAATAATGCAGAAATAAGTTAGCCTAACTATATATCCAATAAATAACTTCATTACACTGATGAAAAAATAACCATTAACATAAGTACTCTGAACATAATACTCTGACTATCTATGTCCTCAGTAGGACATAGTAGAAGGACAAAAAGAACTGGAAATCATTTGGAATTTTACTTAAGTTTGTTCTTGGTAGGTACTGATATAGCAGCTCAGAAACTATGTGAATGTATTTTAGGATCAAGCAAATGAGTAAATATATTGATGCTATCTGGAATCAGGGTTCTTGTCACAGGAGAAAGGAGATACAAGTTTGGAATAAAAGAAGAAGAATCCTGTGAGGTTATATTGAAAATAGAGGTGTCCGTTTAAACTCATAATTTAAGGAAAAAAGTATCCTGGCTCTATCCACTGAAAGGACCTAGAATCATACTTCTATATGATACCAACTATATGACAATTTGGAAAAGGCAAAACTATGCAGACAGTAAAAAGATCAGTGGTTGCCAGGAGTTCGGGGGAAGGGAGTGATGAATAGGAGGAGGACGGAGGATTTTTGGAGCAATCAAATTATTCCTTATGATATGATAATGGTGGACACATGTTATCAAACATTTGTCAAAATGTTTGCAACACCAAGAGTGGAACCTAATGTAGATTACGGACTTGGGTGATAATCCTGTGTCAGTGTAGGCTCATCCACCGTAACAAATGTACCATGCTGGTGTGGGGCGTTGATGGGGGAGGCTGTGGGGGAGGAGGTATACCGGAACTCTGCACTTTGTGTTCAATTCTGCTTGAACCTAAAACCGATCTAAAAAATAGTGACTGCTAAAAAAAAAGCTGCGGGTAGAGTGGGGACCTGATTAGGCACAGTTCTTCCCAGGAACCTACTCTGACTGAACCAGTTGGCCTGGCCCCAGCTCTACTCTGTAGCTGCCGAAGCGCTTGTGGACTCTCTGCATCACTTTCTTTCATGGATCGTTTCCTATGTGAGTCTTCTCTTCAAATAAATTAAAAACAGAAAAGAGAATTGAGAAGTGACTGTGCCCAGGACTGAGAGGTTCTTTTGTTCACCATCCTCAATTTTCTCAACACTTCTACCAGATTCATTATACCTTGCCACCGGTCCTCTCTTTTTCCCAGGGAAAAGACATCATTTAGAAGTACCTGTGGAAGTCACCCAAGTGTTCTGCATCGATATAATCATCTAAGTTCAGGGTCAAGTCTGCCACTTGCTGTGTGCCATATTCCTAGAAAAATGAAAACAGAAAATGAGAGACTGGGATATTTGTGGGCTAATGAGTAGGTGGGCTGGGTGAGAGCAACAATTAAATATTCAACCTAAAGAAATACATATATCCACAAAGAGACATATACAAGGACTCTTTATAATATATGAAAGATCCTCCTAGTGCTTGGGGAATTCTCTGATTTGGGAATATGGCCTTTCCAAGGCAGAGGCCAGAAAACTTACTTCCCAGGCTCCCTTACAGCTCAGGCACAGGCATATAAGCCAGGCGTTAAATGGATGTGTCGGCTTTGACTTGAAGGTGAGCAACATGGAGAAGCAGGGCCAGCAAGAACCAGCCATCTTGCTAATGAGGGTCGCAGCAGAGGCTGCAGGGGTCACAATATCAATGGCTGAAGAAGAAGGGGCACCAGGGCGGACAGCATCAGCCAGTACCTAATACTCGGCAGAGTGGCAGCAGCAGTGGTTTCCAAGGCACAATTTGGGACACTGTTCCTGGAAGCCCAGCTTTGAACCTCTTTCAATAAGCTATCCTGGTTCTTTTAATAAATCATTTCTGCTTAAACTAACCCAAGCAGATTCTGTCATTTGCAACCAAGAACTCTATCTGATATAAGATCTAAATGTTCATCAAAAGAGAAATGGATAAATTATGGTATTATGGAATACTACATAGTAGTTAAAATAAATAAGGTTTATCTATAGTATTCCCATGTCAAGACCTCCAAGACATACTGAGTGAAAAAAGCAAGATGCAGTACAATACATATAGCAGGATACTTTGATACGACCACACAGAGACAACCAAGACAAAACTTAACCAAAAAAAGGTCACTGTCCTCCTGGCACTTATAGTCCAGTGGCAGAATACAGACATTAAAGCAAAGCACAAATACTACATAATTACAAGCTGTGACAAGTACCCGGCAGGAAAATAAAATGATGGACTAGAGAGGCATAATCTAGATTTTTCTGGCAGGTGTGGGTGGGGAGACAGAACTGAACTTTTCGAGGAAGTAAAAATTAGAGGGAGTTAGCTAGGCTGAAGGAATGGCTGGGGGCGGAGAGAGAGAGAGAGTGTGTGTGAGA